AAAGCGAGTATTAGTGATTAAAACAATTCGTCGAAGATCACTTATATGGATAACGATTCGTCAGTATATTATACTAGGTTATTATTATATTGATAGTTCCGGGCGTGAATCCGTTGGAGATACGCTTATAAGAGTGATCACTGATCACCTCCACCTCCCCCCATGCATTTTAAAATGCATAGTTAAAATAATATAAATGCTTTTTTTACATGTAATTAAACTAAATTCACATTGTTCCTAAATAAACAATTGATAATGATTGAAGTAAACTTAAAACTGGTTATACCTATTCAAATCATCTCAAAAAATATGATCTTTTAATAATAATTTGTTATTTTATTTTTGAAGATTTCTAATGTAAAGTACACAAACTATTTGTTGCAGCTGTTCAATAGACAATCACTAATACTAACTATATAATATCGTTTATTGAATTCGACTAAAACCATTTTAATTGTAATATTATCGTGCTCTAAAATATTGCATTTTTTTTGCGCACACATAATTTAGTAGGTATCAGCGTTTGTATTTCTCATTTTTTCGTATAATTATATGAGTATATGAGCGTTATGATTGGAAAAACAGGTATTTGGTATTTTAATTTTTAAGTCTACAAGTCTACAAATATACAAACATTGTTTTTTTTATGAACGTTTGAATAAAAAACAATAATTAAATATTACTGTCATTTCTTATATTTACTATTGGGTTACCCGTCACGACATGTCTAGCGAAATTTTAATAGGTATGTATGTATATAATAAAGATTAAAAATTCGTGACAACGATTTAATTATAAAACTTCTCTATAAACTACATTTGACGTATTTCTATTTGATGTCCAAATTACTAAACTTATGGCCGTGATGACTTAATAGCATGCCTCATAAAATTATTCATGTGAAAAACAGCCTAAAGATGTAAGCTAGAAGTGCATGGCGCCATGGCTTATAAGCGCTTACTCATCGATATACATATGACCTATAGCGTTGATTATGAATCAGTCACTCAGAATAAGAACATTACTTTTTATATTTTTTATTATCATTGAGTGTATATTATTATGTATTATTTTTTATTACAATATATACTCAATTTTATTATTCGACTTCGACTTGGAATTTTTTTTATCGTACTTAACATATAGGGCCGCCCTATTCCTATTTTTGTATTTTACCTGCCGTAAATATAAAATTATTTATGTGCACATTTTATTTGAGCAACTCTATTCGACAATACCTTTCCAATAAGATATCTATTTTTCCTGCTTTTTACATGTACGTACAGGGCACAGGCAGAGTTATTGGTACGAGTATATAACTGAATAAGTTCTCGTGTATTATTAATATAATATAAGCATTAATAAGTACTAATAACTCTCATCAGTCAGGCACATTGTTTTATCTATATTTTAAAAATCACTGTTCTAATATTAACTTCATATTTATAAGAAAATTTCTATTTTTCATAAAACACCAACTCTGTCATAGTGCATTAGTACCGTACTGCAGACTGCAGTCTGTTTTATTACCTATACTCGAATCTTTCAAGATTCAATCCAGCACTGAAAGAAATTTGGGAAATACAGTGATTATACAATTTATTTTTATTTTTTATTTATTATGTACGTGTTTATTATTATCTATAAATGTCACCACTTTTTATCTCGTCGTGTGGCATATGATATAGAAATTATCTTTATTAAAGTATTAACAATAAATGATTTTGAGTAGGATAATTCTCCTTAAACTTAAAAAATCTCCCTACTAGCTAAAAACTGCTAGAGCATACGTACAAATACATACTATTTATAATATAATTATTATGAGCAGTTTTGTTATTATTACAGATTTTTGAACGATTTTAATGAACATTTTTATCAATGATTATTATTATTTATTTTTAGTAGGAAATTAAAAATTTTATAGTAAAATGTAATTAAAGAATAGCTAATAAGTACCATAAGCCATAGTGGTTAAACTGATTATCTTTAATGAGTATCAAACATGAATAATTATAAAACTTAATTTTTAAAATAATAAATATTATAAACGACTTTCTGAATAAATAAGAAAGGAAAAAATCATAGAATAGTAGGTATTTAAAGATTAAACATGATAAATTATATCTATACTTTTTTTGTAACAATCATTAAGTTTTGGTTTTATGAAATATATTTATTTTTAACTATAAAAATATTAATTTATAAATCATTTATATGTTAATTTTTTATTATAGGATTATTTAAAATAAAAATTTTAAGTTAATATAAACAATAAAATAACAGGAATTCATACAAATATTGACTTTCAGTTTTTATTAATAAAGTATAATATTTAATAACTAATTATACATTATTTGTTAAATATGTATATACACACATCTATCATAATTTTAGTAGGTATTTAATTTCTGAAATATCTTGGGTTCTGGAGCCTCACATAACCTTATGATTACTATAGGTACCAAATACTTATTGAGCATAATTTAATACATTGCAATTTATATAGTTAGGTATTTATTTACTTAGTTTTAATTTATTACATAAAATTGTTTTATATTTTATATTAAACATTTTTCATGTTTATAGTTGAAGTAATTTGTTATCACAAAAAAAAAAAAAAATGAAAAAAAAAATAAAAAAAAAAGAATAATCTACAGATTATAAAGTTAAATTCTTTAATTATTTTAATTATGAAATTTATAAACATCTAAAATCTCTATCATACTGTGTACAAGTTATCATATGTCTGTATAATTATATACCTATGAAGTTAAAAATTAAGTATCTACTTTGTTTTTTTGATTAAAAATGGTTTATAGAACATTGACTTTGTTCCCTTTAATGCATCTTATAAAACTTTACCAAACTACATACATTTTTTAATAATTGTACATATTTAGTACATTTTCATTTTTAAATTTAGTTACTACTTACCATAAAATAATAAATATTTTAGAGATTAGTTTTATACTGGCCCCATGTAATGTAAAAATAGAATGTATATTAAATACAATCATAACTTATTAAAGTTAACTTTTATACATTTAATTAAATCCTAATAAATAATTTAGTGGTTTTTTAATTACTAAAAAAATTCATGTACTTTCATTTTATAATGTTTTTAAATATTACATTAAGACATTGATTTATTTCTAATATAATAAATACTAATATACCAACACATATATTTTTTGTCATAGTATATAATGTATTTAAAAAATGATTAATTATATACTGTTTACAGATAGGTCTGTATTCAATATAATGAAATAATAATCTAGTTGCTTTCTATTATCATATATATAATTAATTTTTTTATTAAAAATATACAGTAATTTAAGGATTATAAATTTAGATTCTTTTTGTTTTTACAAAAGTATTTATTAATATACATTTGTTTCATGTGATTCTATCAATAGTTATTTTTAACATCGTTGTTATTTAGTATTTTAAAATTCTTAAATATGTTTGCATTTTTTATTCTCATTTTCTACTTTTATACGTTTAAGGTATATACTACAAGAGACGCTGTAAATAAAAAAGGGCATGGAATGCTAAATAATTTATAGGACAAATAATAACATTTTTTTTTGGTAAATGTAAAATATATATATTATTAATAAAATATTTTATTTTGTTAAAAAAACAATGAGAATACATTAAAAAACGTAAATAGGTACCAAGTTATAAGGTTACAACTAATATTCTATCAAAATTGTACAATATTGTAAAAAATAATAAATAAAAAAAATAAATAAATTTCCTAAAATTCTATAGTTGAATAGTAAATATATTTAGGTACAAATAGGGCCAAGTATATTTTAAGGCAAGGGATACTGTAGCATCCCAGTATCCCAGCCAGTCTATGCCTGACTATAAATAACTATTAATAGTAATTATTACAGTTTAATGTTCAAAAATAAAAACAGGTATGTTAAACTTAATTCCATTAAAATGTAACTTATTACATTAATATATTATATTATTAAAATATTAACTATAAAATTATATAATATGCATAACTCTCATACATTAATGATAATAAGAACATTATATCTACTTTAATTTGTTTTGTAGACAAATAAATATATTTTATTAAATATTTTTAAAATCGAAAAATACATTATTTATGTTCATTAGTATAAACACAATAATAGTTATAATTTATCTACCCTGAATTTTGAATCATATCTGAAACAACATGTTTCAGATAACTGCACTGCCAAAGTCAACTATGAAAATATTTTATTTTTCAATAGACTTAATAGAAATATTTTTTTTTTTGACAATTACATGATATTTGACTTTATAAGCAGTTAACAAAACAATTTTGAAAAATATGTGAATAAAAAAACTTTGAAATTTACAATTTAATGTAAAATAACATTTTGGACTTTTATTTATATAGTACAATTCATAGCTGATTTAGTAATTTTTGAGTCCATTTAGTAAAAATATGCAAATGCATAAACTTATAGGTCCTTACATAGGCAATAGATTATTCAGAACTGGAGACTAGAGAGTTACTGCTACATCAAAAAGTGATAAGTAAAAGAAGAAATTGGAATGTATCAAAATGTATAGGTTCAACATCAAGCGTTGAAGAAGTTAAATGAGCGGTGTACAAGCGATTAGCAAAATGTATTAACTGAGCCTATCAAATACTTACTTTGATATGAGTAGGTACATATTGTTAGTTGTTACATATAACATTTCTGTTTTTGAAAATATTGTGTATATACATATGAAAGTTAATTCATAAAACGAGTATGATGGGAGCCATACTCACAGACATTATTGAATTTAAATCAAATACGCAGGTTTTCAGATATTTTTAATTGCCTTTAAATAACATAAATATTAAATACTTTACAGACTTACAGTTGACAATAATATTATTATGAATATTTAATATTTATTATCATAAAAAACTGTTATCTTATTTTTGATAAATGGTCTTTATCTATGAATTACAGTTTGGTGGAAGTACTAAGAGAGTAGAAATACTATTAAGTCATAAGAATCATTTACTAATTTCACTTGTTCGACAAATTAATTAAGCCGCCAATAAATATAAATTGTGAGTATATTTTAATATTTTTCCTAAAGATTTATCACTTATTTGATTGTGTATTATTCAACAACATTTTGTATTTTGATAAGTTATCATTTTATCAGTAAGGTTAGAAATTCGACTGATTAAACTCACTTTTTAGTTGTCTCGTACGTTCGTACTCGCTCAAAAATACATAAATTCACGAATTGCACGATGTCTGAGAACACAAGAAGTTCGGCATTCAGAAAAATCGACGTTGATCAGTTCAATGAGAACTTCAAAGATGACGAGCAAACGGAAAATCAATCGACGACTGCCATTCCAGATGAATCTGAAATTACAACGATGATTAATCAGTATCCTTTGTTGTACATGATATAATGCAGTATTTGTATTTTGTTTTACAATAATATAATAGTTCATTGGACAAAAATAAAGAAAATTTGAATTCATATTTTCATGAAATTCGTAAACAAAAGTTATATTATTTTTACGTTGTTTATGTTGATAATGTTGTTGGGATAATTTACTTGCGTAACTTGTAATCTTGTAATTTAAGCATTATTCTGCTTAAATTCATTAAAAATAGTGCTTCATTCATTAGCCAAACTTAATAGGTAGTTATTTTAGCTATGTTTATGATAACATCAGGTATACATTAATTAGGCGTCGTTCAAAATTTATTGTGTAATTATATTTATGTTTTATTATATTAGCTGCCACATGTAGTGCTGGAAATTCCATTAGTCCCCCATAAGTCAATTTTATAGATTAAATTTTAGTCGTTCACAAAGTTGTCTACGCATTATTTTTAGTTCAAATTTACAGAACTATTTTTTTTATTGGTTTTTCTGGTTCAGGTTTTGATAATAACAAAACTAAAATAAAATATTTGAACAATGTCCGCAATATACATGATCTGGTATAACTTCGTAAGCTAAGGAAAGGTCCAGCTATCCCGAGCTATTTTAGTAAAACATATGAAAAATACAAAAGTTTTTTATTTATACCTATTTACCTATATATTTATTCCGTAGTAACAAAATAGTATTCATGATTATTTTATTTTGAAAACTATGAACTCTATAATCTATACATACATTTTTAAGTAATATTATCAATAAATAGGTTTGTTATATTGTATTTGGTATTTAATGGTTTTAAGAATAGTATACTTTCAGTGAAATAATAAATTTATTAAATAATTTTATTATATTAAGTAAGTAAACAATCAATTAGTATATTAAAATTTTTAAAATGTATTATGTGGACATGTGGTTTAACATTAAAATATAATAAAATTGATTAAATTTTGAAAATATTCTAATTTAAATTAAGTTTGACTTAGTATAAATCATTGAATTGGGATCACCAGTACTATCCATAGTCGTTAACATGTTGAGCTTGAATGTAATTGTTTTGTTATATAATATAATTACAAATACAATTTATTTATATAACCCTTTTTTTAATTTTATGGACTATACATTTTTAAATATATTTATATAATATGAATCAATATGCTGTTCAAAGTTTCCAATTTTTCTTACCTAATTATTGTGTATATAAAAGTATACGGTGAGCATACAATATACGTTTTAATCATGAAACCAAAATGGCAAACATCAAACAGAACAGTTAAAAAGAAAATAAATAAGACACAACAACAAATGTTCAAAATAAATTAAATTTCTTATTACACAATAAACTAATTTAAAATTTTTAATGATAAAATATTCTTTAATTTTTACAATAAAATTATTGAAAGTTTTACAATTTCTAATATATAATGCTTTACCGTTTCAAATATCAATAATCAATAATAATAATAATAATAATAAATATTAAATTAATCGGTAAAAAGAATAATATAATAGGTAATTGATAAATATCTATTTTTGCCTATGGTTATAAATATATATTATTTTAACTTATCACAAATCAATTGTCATATCTTAGTATAACCTATTTACTTACATTAAACTTTTTTATATTTTATTATTATTTTTTTTTATAAAGCAAAATATATTTTTCTTAAAATATGTTACTAAGCAAACTTATTGAATATTACTATATTATAGTAAATTAAATTAAATAATTACAGAAACATTTTTATAGTTATTACTCAAAAATATAATAGTATATGAATACATTTTTTAAAATTAGCCTAGGTTCTATTATATAGGAATAAATTGTATAATATTTTGTATGTAGCACTGAACTATTCAATAGTCTCTCATATTATTCATTCAATATTAATATAAATGTACTCTTTTATTTAGTGGAATTTAAATAGTTATTGTGTTAAAGGTTTTCCTTAATAAGTTTTACAGAGGTCGTTTTGCTGACGCTTTAAAATCTGCGTTGAAAAATGCACCTTTAGGATCGAAAAATCAACAATTAAGGGTATATTTTATCAGTATAAATTTTTATTTGTACCGATTACCTATATTATTGTTATTTTTTTTTTAGGACAATGCCTTAAATGTTGTAATGAAAGTTCTTTTGGCCACCAAACTATCACAGATAGAAGAAGTTGTTGCTCAATTAGATATTGACATGGTAGATATTCTTATGAAGTATATTTACAAAGGGTTTGAAAAGTCGACTGAGAAAAAGAGCAGTCATCTTCTTATGTGGCATGAAAAAGCCTACGCTCTTGGAGGAGCTGGTAGTATAATCAGAGTACTTACTGATCGCAAAAGAGTGTAACGTAACTAACAATTTGTTTTATTTTTATTTTAACATTAATATTGTCAAAAATTGTATTTCGTACTTTATAACTATTAATTTATTTTTTATTAAGTTTATAAGTATCTGCATTTAATTTTATTAAAGTAATATAATAACATACATTGTCAAATAGTGTTATTTTCTAAAAGTTAAATTATATTCTTTTTAGTAAGCATTGAAATATGTGGCTCGTTAATAAAAGTGTTTAATGGTTTTTAAAATCATTTTTAAACATATTAAATTGTTTTAATAAATGTTTAACTGTTTTTATAAAAGTTACTAAGTATAAATAAAATTATGTCTTGATTAATTTTTTACAATGTCTAATTATTGTATTTAAATCAATAGAAATGTATTTGTGTATGTTAAATACCTTATAAATATGAAATTATTCTATTAAGGTTACGATAGCATATTATACCAACAAAATATTATAAAATATATTAATACCTATAGCCTAGTTAATATCATGTTATGATTATTTGAATTAAAAAAAAAAACAAATTGAATTACACTTAAATGATGTATGTATTCTTAAGTAAAATACATATTATTGTGTAAAAAAGCTCCTTATTTTATTTTTGTATGTAATCGAGGGGTTTTTTTATCACATAGTGAATAATTTATTATCCTGTAGTATTACTCTTTAATATTTGAAAAATGTAATGAATGATAATTTTTAGATTACAAATAATATATTTTATGATAGTGATGTACCTACTACAAAAAATGTTTTTATATCAAACATTGACGAAAATTTTATTATAGTATAAAAAATAATAAATAGCAATAACTATATAATAATAGTATGTGTTACTTTATTATTTAAATATTATGTATTAGTTGTTCAAATCGGTGTTACCTTTATAGAATAATTTGAGGAAAAAATTATTTTTGTATGATAAAAATAAAATGCAATTACTAGCACTTCAAAATAAACAACACTCAATCTCTATATTATCCTTCTAGGTTTTTTCAATACCTACTGAATTTTTTCATAGATATTTTTGTACTTTAAACATTAACATTTTATGATACAATAATTTACACTAGGTACCAGTTTTTTAAAGACGATATTTGAACTTAGTATTAATTAGTATACATATTTATAAACATTTGCATTATTACTATTTTTAAAACTAAATCATATTTTATTTTTACAGTTTGTAAAACCTAATTTATTTATTACAAAATTATTGTTACAAATCACAAGAATATGATCATATTATACAAATAAATAACTATGATGTTATACACAATATGATATGTACTGGAATACTGAATAAGTATGTAACAATTATGTTTTTTAAAATAGTAAATGCATAGTAGATAGTCAGAAATGTTGACAAATCAATGCTGTATCTACTAACTTATTATATCAAATTAATATGAATATCCATACAGTTATAATTCGTGATAAACCTTATAGCTGTTTAACTACTCAATGGTTAGTCGTATTATACATCATTACACTAGTGTCGATCAAAATGTATTTGCTATACATTATAAATCTTTTGAATCCAATTTAATAAATAATTACTTTGCTAGTTTTTGAATTAAGCAATTGATGGATGTATTATTTTTTTTATTACATATTAATGACAGTTTTGTGTCTTATACATTTCTTATTAAACCATTATTTACAAAAGGCCTGACCATCTAAATATAAGATTAGATAACCTTATATTTTTTTTATTTGTCTTAAAACTGATGGTGTTAAATTTAATAGCTCAATTATCTACTTGAAACAAATGTATTTAATGATTCAGTTATTATTACTTTGCATTAGTGTGTTGGTATTAAATATCATATTGATTAGATAAAATAAAATAAATTATTGATGTACAAAACTTGTAAAACCGTATTTTTATTAAAGAATAATATCTAATCTAGAAATTATATCACACAATATATACATTAATGGCTTATATTTTCGACGCACATATTATATATGTACAAGTTTGTGTCAATGAATATTATAGTCACTTTTTAAAATGGTGTTTTACAATGTTTTAATCTAATTGATTTTTATATTAAAAAAAAACTCTTAATTATTTATTATAAAAAAATAAAAAGGTAGTCTTATGTATATTGTTCTGCTGAAAGGTGGGTGTTTAGTGAATTATGATGATGAATGTGTTAAATTTAAATTCAATGACATCATTCATAGGGCTTGGAAATAACGGGAATTACATATTGTTCTGTGTGCTCTCAATTTATAGTAGACCAAGTTAGAAATCTGAACTGTACAATGGAGAGTTAAAAAATTGAAAATTGAAAATGCACATTTTATCAATTTTAGCTGAAAAGTGCATTTTTTTCCTGATCTGAATATTTAAATTAATTTTGAATATAAAACTCAAAATTTTCAACAAAGGTATTTATTGTAATTTCAAAAATATTAAAAAAATATATTTAATTATAGTTTTAGCTCAATAAGATATCAAAATGCTAACCAATCACAAATTTTTTTTCAGTTATAAACAATTGTTGTTTATTATTATTTTATTAATTTATTAACAATATCTGATGTATTTTTTTTTTTTTTTTTGGAATTCAGAATAAATTTTTTGCATATTTTATAATTTTTTGTGCATATTTCATGCATATTTTGCCTTTTTTAGCTCTTACAACTTCCGAGCTCTAAAGTCATTGATATATATATATAATAAACGATTTTGAGCGAAGACATTCTATTAGCCTAGGTATCACTAAGTGTATTTCTTGGTACTTTTTTGCCACTTGTAGTTTTATTGATACTATTATAAGTCATTTATTTTATTCATATCAGTATTACGGTAGATTGATTTAATTTTTGTTGAACACAATGCATTTATAATACTATTATTAGTTAATAATAATAATAATTAAATTTATAATTTATTACCTACCTACCAGCTTATTAAACTAAGTCTAATGTTAAAATATTTAATTAGTTTTCGTTATTTTTTAGTTGATAGTTATAATATTTTCTGAGGAACAATTGCATAGAATCTATGCAATAGATAATAGATATTATATGATATTTATATGTATGTATATATTATACTTTATTTGAATATTGAAAAAATTACGTGTGTCTTAAGCGTCCTTGATTTCCAATATCGCCATAGATAGAGAATCTTAACTTTTATAGTTATTTAACTCAAGTGTATTCATACGACACACACAATTCATCAAAATACGCAAACGCTATAATAAAAATTAATTAACTAATAAAATTAATTGAAAACACGCTATAAGACAACAATGATGCATAATATGATAGTCATCTTAATTATTAATTTTAAACATTATTGATTTTACGGTATACAGGTAGGTACATCACACACTCTGTTCGAAATGTGAAAAAAATAAATACGTAGGTAGTATATGTATACCTAATTAAATCAGGATCCGACGTCTTAAATAGAATACGACGTTGATTTGAGTTATGCAGAATATTTTGTTAGTAATAATTTATTTAATTTACCTACCTAATAACAAAAATCTGACGAATTATTATAATACAATTCAATACTTCTGAGTAGGTATTGTTAATTCTGAAGTCGGATATTTGGCATATATTATGAAACTGACGGTAAACACCTATTCACATCTTTTGAATATCAAATATATTTTAAATAAAATCTTTTAATAAGCTGAACAAAATTATGTTTTTAATATTATACGTATTTAAAAGGGAATATACAACACACAGTATTCAACACATAATGTTGTACGTTAATGCTGTATTAACAAAGTTATTTCCCGAAAAATTTTGACATAGTTCACTGTCAAGAATATACTAAGTCTTTATGTACAACGTCAAGTCGTCAAATCCAGTTGCAGAATTGATTTTTTTCTTTGTTTTAATAATGTATGCTTTACAAATTAATTTATAAACTACATATTTTGTCGAAAATTATTAATCCTCTTAACTCGTATAAAAACAAATAGTTAAATGAGTTAGACAATGGCGTATCTTTTATATGATTTAGTTATCTTTTAAGTTTATAAATAACTTAAATTCCTAAAGCAAAAAAATTTAAATACATAAAAAAATAAATACAGATATGAAATCATCATAATATTTCCTTTAAGAGTTATTCTAAAGGAAAGTGTTTGACTTGATAATACAACATAATAATAAAAATATTAAAAAAGCAATTCGCACAAAATAACCTAATAAAAAAATCTTTTTCGATTTGATCTCCTTGTTGTACAGGATATTATTGGGTACCTAGTGGGCTGCGTACGAGTTGATTCCCGAGTACCTGTTTACCTGTACCGACACCGTTGAGTTAATTCTCGGGTCATTAGAGGGTATGTACGAGTTGATTCCCTATTGTTGTATATCAATTATCAATAGATTGCACGAGTAAAAAGTTTACGGCCGTATAAAGAGTTCGACTGTCACACACAATTCGTTCTTATGTCCACCGAGACCACGCGCGAATTTACAAAAAAAAATCTCATTACAGATACCGATTAATAAAAACAATGTGTTACAAATTTTTACAAATTTTTACCAAATTACTAAATTTTTTTATATTTTTTTATCTAGTTACTACTAAATGTTTTTAATAATAATTTTTTACCTAATTACTACTTAATGTTTTTAATAATAATAAATATAATATAATTCAATAAATGATTAATTAATAAAAATTGAACGATTTTCAAAATATGAAAAAACTAAAAAAACCAGCATTTTTGAGAAACTTGTCAGCCAACCTCTTCGTGATGTTTCTTGGGTTATGCTAATAGGCTGAATATTTTACTAGATTTTGAATAAAATATATAATTACCTGGGAATCAACTCGTACGTATCTCTTAATGATTCGGGAATCAACTAATACATGAGAAAGGTCTCGGGAATCAACTCACCTATTGTGACCAAGTGTGTGCAATAAGTTTGGAGCGATATTTAATTTAAAAAAAATATCAGATCAATCTTTGCTTTTGTAGTTAAAACCCGAATTTGCTGTCTGATATATATATTTTTTGATTTTTTCCATGTTAGTTTTTACTTTATTCTAAAGTTAATATGAAAAAATCATAAATTTACCTCTTTAAACT